CCGATGCCCCCCTCCCCCCCATCTTCCCTTCGACCACTTAAACAATTTAAGGAAATGTTGACCCTTTTATTTTTTTCTGCGCACAGGTTTCCTCTCTGGTCTTCTCCTACCTGCGCATGCTGCGTGAAGCCGCGACCTTCAGTTTAGCGAACCCCAAGGCGGATACCTTGCCCTCCGGTGGCCGTGCCCTCGCCTCTCTGGTTCCCGAATACCAGAAACTCTATGAAGCCCAGTTCCGTTTCCAGGAGCCCTTTGATCCCGTCGATACAGTACAGTACGTCGCACATGCGATGCTCACCTCCAGCCCCGAAGAGGTTTACACCCATGACAACCTCATTATTGAGCCGGATCTGAAGGTATGTGCATCCACTGCCACCCCCCCCCAGGCCAGATGTGTGTGTGAGCAAGAGGATGTTTGAAATACGCGCTTTATTTCGGCGATTACAGAGTAACACCTACGTCAACTCGAACTGCAAACCACAATTGGGCTTATTACAATAATAAAAAATGAAGAGTAAGACGTCAACCGTGGACAGCCGTAGCCAAAAAACAAACGAGATAGCCAAATATGAATCCTGTCTCTAAACAACAGAAAACGCGTGCCTGCTAGCGTCTATCACACGCGTGCTGCACAAGAACGATTTAACACTACGGGTGACCCGCAGTTTCAAGGTCAAAGTCGATGCGAACAAACAAAGAAGTTCAGTTCAGGTGGGCAGGGTGGGGCAAAAACAAAGGGGACCAACATGCAAACACAGTATTGGATTGGTATAGCCACCGCCTCTGCCGTCACGAGTATCCACTGATGCAGGTGCCTCGTCGGCCATTGATAGCCCGATTGACATCTATTCGGTGCCCGCTGTCAACCACATGAACCAATATTTCGTTAGGGATGAACTTTTGAATGCCTTACATTAGCCAGGAGGGTATTGCTCTCACATCTGCCCGGATAGGCACTTTTTCTTTTTACAAAGTAAAAAGGGAATGCATAGGTGCACAGTGAAGAAGTCGAAAAGTTGAGTCCTACACGTTCGTATACCAATCCTGCCACCTCGCGTTACTCAACGGCGAATTCCACTCCTTTCTCTCCCGTAATCCTAGCATAACTGAAATACAGTAACACCTGATTCGGACATGTCTGAATGTCCTGAACCTTCTCTCCAATGACTACTATTCGATTTTTTTGCTCCGCCGCAACTGAATTAAATGAGTAGTAATAATCGAAAACGTTTTTTCACCCAGTTTTACAATTGTCTCTACCAAGGGGTAGAGTTTAGATTTTGGCAGGATCAGTGCTTTTATAGACGTAGAGCATGTGGTGAACAAATTTAGTTGATATCACAGGCACCGACCAATTTGAAGTCTGTCGGAAAAAGGATGGTAAGGAAGCGGGTCACCTTCTGTAATGGAAGACAATCAAGATTTTGAATGCCTGCACTTTCTTCCTATGCACAAGAAGGCTAGTGTCTCTAAAGTTTTGAAATCTACACGCTACTAATATTCTATAGTAGCCTTTTATGTGGTAGCGCTTATCTGTAGAAAACCCCCTGTTTCCGCGCCCCGTTATCAAGTTATATCGTGCGGTTACCCTGTCTGACCTCTTACCCGACCGTTAGTCTCCGTTAAGAAACGCAAAGGAGTGTTTGCCGAAATTTGTCTTTCTGGCAGACAAGAATCTTTAATTTTCTCTGTAGAGAAGGCCAAATACTTGATATTAGGGACTATACAATGAACACAACTACCGATAAAGCAGCCCAACTCCCTTCAGATAGTTCAGTTTGTTTGAGAGTACCACTTTCGACAATTATGTGTGTGTTTAAAACGTGCTGGGGCTAGTAAATCACGCATTTGAATAGCACCATTATA